GTCGGTGGTATGTTTGCCATGGGAAGCAGCCCTTCAGAGACTGTTCCAGTACAAGTCTCCTTGTGTGCTTGGTTACAGGGTGGTGTATCTTCCACTTAGTTGTTGCCAAGCACTGCTCTAGAGCAGTTGTCCTCATTTTTAGGTCTTTGGAGTTATTTCCTTTAAAGTTCTGCTCAACTGAAGAGTCGGTTACCATGAACAAACTTCTAGGCTCCCATGAGGAAGACAGGGTGGGTATTACCCTCATGTATTAGATAAGGAAATTGAGGCTCAGACAGGGTAAGAAACCTGACTTGAGGCCCTGTAGCTGAACCGCTTTGGACCTTTGAGTCTAAGTCCTTGACAAAGCTCTCTGTCTCCGGCAATTTCTTGGAGACGTTTTAGGCACAGACTCAAAGGCAGGAAAAGGCCCTGTGTGTGGTGCGTGGAAGCAGGGCGGTGGCGGTGGCATTTGGGGGGGGGGGTTGACAGCTGATTCTGAGAAGCTCTTCTAGGGGATGGAGGAGGGAGCAGCACAGATAGAAAGCTCAGAGAGGGAGTTAAATTTTGAATGAGGGATGAGGGGGCATGCTGCTCTGGGCAGATGGGGAATGGGAGCCTGCTGCAAATACAGGAGAAGGCAATGAGAGGACCGGCCACGAGGGAAGACTGTTCCGGGGGCCAGCAGGGGTGTGGGAGACTCAGAGACATATGGGCAGCTCCGTCAGGGATCAGTTTCAGCATGTGCCTCTGAGACACCAGAGCTCAGCCCTTACCAGGAACTTGTCCTCCTAGTGCTGGCCAGAAGGCCTCAGGAACCAGCCAGCCCCTGGGTCGATGTGCCTGAAGCTCTTTGCTCTCAGCTTAATCAGGCAGCTGAACCTGGACCATTCACTTTTTCCTCCATTCACTCTTTCTTCCACGTCCCACACTTCTAAACCCTGGGGATGCAATTACGGGCACTTCGTGGTCCCGGGGGTTCACAGTCTGGTAGGGGATACCAAACTAGCGCTGGTGGCCAAGAATAACCAAGAGAAAAGGCCTGAGCGTGGGAGCAGCTAACCCCCGGGAGAGGGGGCTGGGAGGAACTTTCCAGCAGAGCCAGTGTCTGAGCCAGCTCCAAGAAGACAAGAGCAAAAAGATGAGAGGTCACTGAGCAGAAGAGGGGAATGGTATTCCGGACAGACTGCCCAGTGCCAAAAGCACAAGCACAGAGAGAACCCAGAACTAGAGAGGGAGGGGTTTCAAGCATAGACCTAGAGCAGACTCCTGGGTTCAAATCCCAGCTCTGCCATCTACCAGCTGGATGACCACAGGCAAGTTATTTCATCTCTTTGTCCCTCAGTTTCCTTACCTCTAAAATGGGGGTAATAATACTAATAATTTTTACAAAGTTTCATGAGTTGAAATTTGTAAAATGCTTATTAGAACAGTGCCTGGCAAAGGCTGTGTCATCTGTCAAAATGTAAAGAAGTTCAGAAGAGATGGCACAGGAGGCCGAGAGGCCAGTTGAGTCCAGGCGCAGGGCTTTGCATTTTGCTCAGCTGACAGTGGAAGGCTATTCGGGGGTCAGTGGGCACCCTGGGATGAAGTGTGGTGCTGGTGGGAGGATGGCTTGGAGAGGAGGCTCTAGAGGAATGAGTCAGTCAGTCATTCCACAGACGTTTCTCCAGGGCTTTGCAGGAGCCTCACCCTGAGATGGGCTGGAAGACTGGGGATGCTTCAACAAGGAGCTCAGAGTGGGGGCCTGGGCCGACCCCCCAAGCTCCTGAGTCACCCTTCCTCTCCCTCCTTGCCCACCACCCTCATGTTGCCAAGTCCTCCTGTCCAGGTTTCATAAGGAAAGTCATGGAAGCATGGAGTGGACCATGGCACCTAGCCCTGAAAGGGGGCTCCCTCATCACTCTTTGGGCTCTGGAGAGGAGAGGAGAGGAAGGTAGCTGCTAAAACAAAGGCTCTTGCCATCCCCTTGTGCCTGACAAAGAGAAGTGGCCTGGGCTGGCCTGGGCCCTGTGGTCAGTCCTTGGGTGCGGTGCCTGAGGTGGAGGAAGCCCATCTCTTCCCTTATGGCCCTCGCCCCTCCCCCACGGAATTCCCTTTTCCTTCCTTCTGAGCTGATCGGTGGTAAACACTGGACTCACTGCCAGGCACTGTGCTGGGCATGCCCAGATATACTGGACCTGGCCCCTGGTCCCCGGGAGCTTGTGGCCTGGTGAGTGGGTGGATGGGAGGAACAAGATATGTGCATTTGAAAGAATTAGGACTTCCAGGGGTCCAGTGGCAGAGAAACCAAAATGAGTGATGTGACCAAATGAGTGATGTGGGGTTACTAGTGAGAATGGTGAATTCTTGGTTGGGACAGCTGTGAGCAGGTGGGGTTTTGATACGAACTGGGAAGCAGCCAGTATTCTGGGCAGAAGGGATGCTGTGTGCAGGGACACAGTAGTGGGCTTGGGCAAGGCCACATTGGGGCACAGAGAATAGGATGGCTTGGTTAGAGCTCAGGGGTTTGTGTCTGGGCTGAGGAGGCTGGGTTAGTGCCACACTGCAGAAGCCACATTTGCCAGGCCGGAGGTTTTGGAATTCATTCTGAGCTAGTGGTTCCCAAAGTGTGGTCCTGGAGGTGCCCTAGACCCTTTCAGAGAATTAGTGTGGTCAGAACTATTGGCGTAATAATACTTTCAGAGCCGCCCTGGTTCACGCCCTTTTCACCGTGTTAGTAGTGACCGTGCAGAGGCAATGGTGGTGTGGAGCAGCTGGCCCTCTGACACAAACCAAGGCAGTGGCCCCCACACGAACTAGAAGCCGTGGTATTCTTCACACTCACCACAACAAAATGCAGTAAAAAGTATTAATTTTATAAAGCCCAGACCCTCGAGTATACATCTTTTTAAATATTCTGTATGAAGAAATGTGAAATCTAAGTCAAGGCAGTTTTGCAGACTGTGATGGTTGTCTTGAAAAGCAGTCTTGGGCAGCCCTGGTGGCTCAGCGGTTTAGCGCCGCCTCCAGCCTGGGGCGTGATCCTGGAGACCCAGGATCCAGTCCTACGTTGGGCTCCCTGCATGGAGCCTGCTTCTCCCTCTGCCTGTGTCTCTGCCTCTCTTTCTCTCTCCGTGTCTCTCATGAATAAATAAATTAACTCTTAAAAAAAAGAAAAAGAAAGAAGGAAGGAAGGAAGGAAGGAAGGAAGGAAGGAAGGAAGAAAGAAAGAAAGAAAGAAAGAAAGAAAGAAAGAAAGAAAGAAAGAAAGAAAGAAAGAAAGAAAGAAAGAAAAGCAGTCTTGCTGCTGAGTTGCAAGCTGTACTAGTTACTTTTTTTAAGGAACACCATTTTAACTTGAAAGAATACCTGGCAGACAAAACTCTTCAGAGTTGGGTATTTGGCAGACATTTTCTCAAAAATGAGTGAAGTGAGCTTGTCACTTCAAAACCAGTATCAGTATTTGTTGCTGATGATAAAATTTGAGCCTTTGAAAGGCAAAAATCAGAATTTTGAAAACCTCGTATGCACTGTCTAGAGCCTGACAGCTTCCCAGGACTGGAAGACTTTTCTGGTGAGACCAGTAGCGACGTTAGCAAGTATGACTTCTTGATTTTGTATAAGGAAATGTGTCAAGTTTGGAAGATCTGCATAACTCAGTAAAATATATTTTCCAATGCTTGATATTACAAAATTCACAATGCAAGATAGACGAGTGAAAAGTTCATTAATATGGTTTCAGATTCCATATAGCCGCTAACCTTTAAGAAACTACGACTTGTCACATTTTGATGAAGTAGCAAAGAAGAACATCCATAATTGCCTGAAAAGGCTATTAAAATACTCTTCTTCTTCTAACTACATGTCAATGTGAGGCAGAATTTTCTTCACATACTCAACCAAAACAACATATCACAACAGATTGACTGCAGAGGCAGATAGGAGAATCCAGCTGTCTTCTATTAAACCAGAAATAAAAGAGATTTACAAAAAATAAAACAATGCCACTCTTCTACCTAATTTTTTTAGGAAATACAACTTTTTTAAAAAAAATAAAAGTGTGTATGTTAACATAAACGAGTTTATTGTTTTTAGATGAGTTAATATTTTTTAAATTTCTCAGTTTTAATTTGTAATATGGTAAATATTAATAGTTCTGACCCCCGTAAACAAAACCTTCTGGGATCTTCAGTAATTTTTAAGAGTGTAAAGGGGCCCTGGGAGTTTGAGAGCTACCACACTCGACCCTGGAGAGCCAGGAGTGTAAGCTGGAGGAAGGGGGTGGCATTCTGGACAGGATGGGTGTGACATGGGCTGACCTCTCCGGGACACAAGCCAGGGCAGCTCTGACAGACCTCTCTTGGCAGGGTGGGGAGACCCAGGCTGGATAGTCCCAGCTCAGCCACTTCTGGGCTCCGGCAGTCACAAGCCTCCACGAGTCTCAGCTGCTTGTGGTTTAGCTGGGACGGTAATGCCACCCGTGCAGGAGAATTATAAGCCTTCCGTGTGATAATGCTTGTGAAAAAGTGCTTTGTAAGTTGTGAAAGACTCAACAGATATTTGTTTTTGTGGTTACTTTGATGGGAGCCAGTGCTTAGCTGTCTCAGACGCTTTCCCCCAATCCCAGAACACCTGTCCAGTGGGTAGGAGAGGACATTCGATGGCCAGAAAGGGTGCTATCCACCCCCCACTTCTACCTCCCCAGACCTTCTCTGGGAGCCAAGGCAGGGTCCATGTGGCTCTACCGGGTGCCAGGTGGAGGGGAGGGTACTGGGCTATTGCTCAGGCTGGCTCTGGGGACTTTGGGAAGAGAAGCCAGGAGGCAGGACTGCTGCGCGTGTGCCCGCCCGCCCACCAGCCGCCTGCTTGCTGCAGGGCCTGGAGCTGCCTCTGGGAGAGGAAGTGCAGTTGGTTACCAATCGGGTTATTTTCATAACGGCTGTCTCAGGCTGGGGGGAGGAGGGTGACGAGGGGGAGGGGGCAGGGGAGCAGCCACAGCGGCTCCGCTCACTCTCCAAACTAGGACTTGCTCCGCCAGAGGCCGGCAGCCTGGAGCTGGAGGCAGAACCGGGGCTACCTGCCCACAGGGACCCCAGGCCCCACCCGTTCGCCCACCTCCTGCCCGCCACCCTGCCTTCCAGATCAGGTCAAAGGGGACTACCCCCCAACCCTTCCTTGCCTTCTGCTTCCTCCTTCCTGTATCTGTCTGGGTGGGTCTGGGGAGGAACGGATCATGGTGGGCCCAGGCACCACCATTCCTGGATGAGGCTCTGAAGCTGATGGAAAAGGGAAGGGGAGGGGTAGGCTAGGCTCCTGCCCCAGCCAGACCCTGTTGAGGTCAACATTACTGGCCTGCGGGCCGCCTTTCCTATGCAACCCTGGCTCACCTGCTCCCTGCTGCGCGTTTGTTTTGTTTTGTTTGGGGCAGGCTTCTCTTAGCAAGTAAAGACCTCAGGAGAGCCAGGACCCTGTCTCACCAGCACCCTTCCCCCCGCCCCCCACAGGCCTGCCTCCACACTGTCTCCACCTCCTTCCCTCTGACCTTCGGGCTGTAGGAGCAGAGCACCCAGAGGTGGCTTCTGACCAGTAGCCCCTGGGGAGGCCTCTCCAGACCCTCACTCTGGGGCCACTATGCACCATTCCCAGCCTCCCTGAGGAGATGGGCACATGGGGCCCTGCTCACAAGGGGGGATGAGAACCCTGGCCAGATCCCATGGGGTGTCCTGTGCAGGCACCTCTGGGGGCCAGGCCTGCTATGAGGGGCAGAGGGCATTTCTTACCGTATGAGCAGATACCCAGGTGGCTCTTGCTGCCAGACTCTGTTCTTCATGTGGTGGATGGTGGCTACCCCAGGGACTCCTGCTTCCCTTTCTGGGTTCCCACTCCCACCACAGGCAAAGACAAAAACCCCAGGAGATGGCACGATCCACACACCCTTGTGTCTGCTGTGGGTGTAGGCTCTGCCATGCCCCTACCCTCTGCCAGGTATCAAGTACTTTATACCATCATCTCATCAGAACCTCCCTTATGCCAACCTTCTCAACTGGGTAGTATCCCCCCATTTTGCCGATGAGAAAGTTGAGGATGAGAAAGGTTAGTTGATCCAACCGGGAAAGCAATGGGAGGATTCCAAAGCCCTAGGGCTTTTCCACTTGAAACTAACATAGGGAGGGAGATAGTCTGGGCTGGGAGGCTGGGAGTCTGGTTCTCCTGAGCCAGTAGCCAACGAAGCTGGGTTGTTGACACCCGCTCACCCACTGGCAGCTGCCCGTAGCCACACTCGCTGCTGTTCATCAAGGGCACATGGCCGGATGTGTGTCCCTCCTATAGCATCCTTTGTCTTCCCCAGGCTCTCAACAGCCAGCTGGAACCCTTGAATCCTTTCCCATCCTGTTCCCTTTGGGTGTGACAAGCTTCCCTCGGGTTCCCCGCAGAAGGCTCAGAGGCAGCCATTTTGCTGTGCTATTGGTGTCAGAACCCTGCGGGGTCTCCTCCAGTGACCTTTACATGTGGTGTGTGGTATGCTGAAGATAGATGGCAGAGCACGAATCGAGAAGACACTGCTGCTTAGAGCTGTGCTGTGGGGAAAGGCTGGGACACGCCTGAGGCCAAGTGGGGCTTCTCAAAGGACCCAGGAGAAGCCTCAGCAGAGATAGGAAGTCTGGAATCAGGCTATTGCTGACCAGAGGACAGAGGTTTCTATGGAGACCAGAGGAGCAGGAAGCATGGGGCCTGGGGGGAGGAGGCATTGGGAACATAGAGGCATGGGTGCTGTGCAGGACAACTTGTCATAAAATATCAGCTCAGCCAGTCTCGTAGTCTCCTTGGACAAACAAGATGACTGAGGCCCATGCGGGGACGGCTTTGCACGTGGTCGCACGACAGTGGCCTGGCCTAGCCTGCCTTGCTCCCCACTCAAAGTGACTGCACCGCCAGGCAGCTGATGAGACTCCTGGACGGTTGGACTTGGGGTTCCCTGGCAGCATGTGGGCTGGAGCCCTATGGAAGCACCCGTAAGCTGCCGCCCTGTTGTGAGGCGGCCCCTACCTCCTGGCCCCACTCATCAGTGTGGGTCTGGGCCCTGGCCACTGCCCCAGACCTCATCGCCGCTCACAGGGTGCCTGCAGCACCTCCCCCCTACTTACTGTGGCCTTTTGTTTTCTGGGTGACACTAGCATCAGGCGGTGTGTTCGGGTGACTAATCTCCTCCAGGCTGGGCAGCTGTCACAGGGCAGCCTGACCAGACGGGCGGGGAAAGCTGACACCCTGGGGGAGTGCTGGCAAGCCAGTGCCCAGGCAGCAGTGGGCAGCTGGGCCTTCAGGCTTCTTTTCCTGGGTACAGAGCAGACCAGAGTCAGGCAGGCCTGGGTTCAGGTCCCAGTCCTGCCACCGAGCGGCCTTGTGACATGTACTGCACCTGTTCAAGCCTCGTCTCTGTAGTGGAGCCACTGATCCTGCATGCCTCATAGGCTTGTGGTGGGGATCAAGTGAGATGATAAATGAAAGTACTTGCTTAGGGCCTTGTCCATTGTAGGTATTCAAGCAGTTCAGCGGCCTTTATTGCTCTTATCAAGGCTCCCCTTCCTGCCCCGGCCCACCTGAGTCTCAGCCCCATTGCCCAAAAAGAAAGATCCTACTCTCCTCTGAGCTTCTAGAGTACAAACTTTGCCTTCACGCAGACTTGGGTTCCGTCATCGGCTCCCCAATGGCTAGCTGTGGACTTCAGGCAGCTTACCTCCTTGTGTCCCAGCTTCCCGTCAGGAACATGGCATGATGCAGGACCTATTTTTTCATGTTGCTCTGGTTTATAAAATGATAACGTGTGTTTATAAAGGGCTTAGCAGAGTGCCTGGCCCATGGAGGGCACTCAATAAATGTTAGCTCTGGTGATAGTGATTTTCATAGCTAGCCAAGAGCTCTCTGCCCACGCCCGTTCACTTGCCCTCAGAGCTTAACTCCTGCCCTTCTCCCTGTCGGAGGAGGGACTGTAACAGGCAGAGACCAAGAAGAGCCAGGCAGTCTCGAACACTGGTTCCCCAGGCACACTGCCTCCGTTGTTCCCTGGTCACAGGAGCTCAGATGCCTTGGCCCTATGTGCCTCTCCCTAAATACCTCTGTACCTATCCAGGGCTTCAGCCTGGCATTGCTTGCCTGGACTCACAGGGTAGTAGCAGATTAAAGAGTGGGTGAGTGGGTGATGGGAGAAACAGGCAGTCGGCACGTAGCTGTGGGCCTGGGTCCTCGTCCTCAAGCCCTGCGTCCACCACCGTTTGTCCAAGGCTCCCACCCAACATGCCTGACTTCCTCTAGGCCCTTAGCAGGTGGCCGTATGTCTCTTGCTGGCCCCAGGCAGATGTCCCATGGCTGTGACTTGGACCTCTCTGTGGCTGCCAGGGCCCAAGAGATCACTTGATGGTGGGATACAGGCCCTGGGCATTCTGGAGGCATCCTCCCTACCCCTGCCCCAAGTATACCTGGCTTCCTGCCCTTCCCCCACTGTTCGGAAGAAGTGAGGGTACAGTAATCCCAGCAGCCTGTAAGAAGGGGCAGCCAGGAGTAGATGAGCTGGCGAAGGAGGCTAAGAACGGGTCAAGGGAGGGTGGTTTGAGTAAGGATAGTCCCCCTGGCTTCTGCCTCCCCACAGGAGGGAACTCTGGGTATAGAGTTGGAGCTTCTAGCATTGGTCCCCAGGACACAGTGCAGTTCACAGGCTCCCTTGGCAGCAGGGCTGGAAGGGTTTTCAGACCTCACCCGTCACCTGGTACTTGCACACATGGGGGATCCGTCCTCGGCGTCTCCAGAAAGGTGAGACAGAGCAGTCTAACATCAGGAAAGGGCCTGCTTTTAGCCCCTCAGAGATAGAGATGCACACCCAGAACATACCTGAAGGCTTTCCTCTTGGCTCAGGCCTCTCATAGCTTCCCATGTAGAGTCCCCATGGGTGAGGACTGGGGTGGCTCTCTCCCTGTATAACTCCCCCAGTCTGAGGGCATTGGTCACCAGAGCCCTTTGATCCCTAAGTCAGATCCTCCCCTTGTCTGGTGCCCAATCTCTGCCTGACCCCACGGTTTGGGGCTGAGTCTAGGGGTCTTATCTGGACTGAATTTCCTTTCAGAGAGCCTCCTTTTATTACCATAGCTTACTTTGTGCCATGTCCCAGGAGGGGACACCTAAACCTAACCTGCTCTCAATTGGTAGCTAAAAAAAGGCCCAATGAAAGGGCGGGGGAAAAAGGCTTCTCCTTGGCCCCTCAGTCTGTAGAAGCCAACTGTACACTGGAACCCAGGACAGTGGGCTTCCCGTTTCCTTTTTTTCTTTTCCATCAGCTTCAGGCAAGGGAGTCAAAGGCCAAGGCTTTGTGGTTTATGGTGCCTGGACAGGGGAGCCACATGGGTGGCTGGAAGCCCCTTGTACCCCTTGTACTCTTGGGGCAGCAGAGGGTATAACTGGGGAGAGCGGTAGTGCTTCCAACAGTAGTGCATGTGGGCTCCCCTGAGGATTCTGTGGTACCCTCAAACAACCTATTTATGGAGGTCAGAGGCCGTGGACCCCTCCTCCTTCCTCCCTGTGTCCCTTCTCTGTTCAAAGGGCAGAGGCTGTGACTGGGCTCCGGAGCATAGGATGGGCCAGAGCCTGACCCAGCTCCTGATGCTCCCGGTCTCTGCCCAACAGCCCTCCACCTGCCCCTGGCATGGAGACCTTCTTTAGGAGACGCTTCCAGCGGAAGGAGCCAGGCCCCGGGGAGGGGCAGCGGCGGCCCAGCAGCGTGGGTCTGCCCACAGGCAAGGCCCGGCGCCGCTCCCCTGCTGGACAGGCCTCCTCCTTGCTGGCACAGCGGCGCCGCTCCAGTGCACAGCTCCAGGGCTGCCTCCTGAGCTGCGGGGTGGGGGCCCGGGGTGCCAGCCGCCGGCGCTCCAGCACCGCACCCCCTGCCTGCAACCCCCGCTTCGTCGTGAATGAGGTGCCCACCGCACAGCCTGCCACTGTTGGGGCGCAGCTTCTCAGCACACCCTTGCTGTTGGCTGGGCTCATAGGCATGAATGAGGAGGAGGAGGCGTCTCGGGAGGAGGACGTGACAGTTGCGGCATTGAGTGCCACCCAGCTGGGCGCCAGGAGACCGGGCCCCTCCTTGCACCGGGGCACCCTCCTGCCTGTGCTTGGCTGCCTGCGCCGGCGGCGCCGAGCCTCCTCCCACCTGCTCCCTGCTGACGTGGTGTATGACTGTGCCCTCTGGGGCCTGCATGGTTACTATCGACGCCTCAGCCAGCAGCGGGCCCCAGGCCCACACCCCGGCCCTGGGGGCCGAAGAGCCTCAGGCACTGCAGCTGGTGCTCTGCTGCCTGCCCGCGTGCGCCCGCTGTCCCGCAGGCGACAGGTAGCCCTACGGCGCAAGTCGGCGGGACCCCAGACCTGGAGTGCCCTGCTTGCGTAGGTATAGCTGCGGCCGGCAGGGCAGTTGTGCAGACCCCGAGGAGGCTGGCCTGGAGGAGGGACCTTGAGGCTCTACCTGGCCTGAGGGCCCCCTTCTTGGGAATAGCTCTGGATAGTGCCTGGAGGCCAGCGCACCCTCCAAGGGCAATGAGGAGGGCTGAGTCTCCTGCTGGGAACTGCTTAGGGTCCTAGGCTGCCATGGCACGGGTGTTGTAGTCCCTGCCTTGGCCAGGGGTTGAGGTCACGGTGAGGGCAGAGATTGCAGGTAACACGAGGGGAAGGGAGTAGAGTTACCAGGTGCTCAGCTGGCCTCAGTGATCTCCTTTTCTGTAGGAAAGCCATCACCAAGTCGGGCCTCCAGCACCTGGCACCCCCTCCTCCCACTCCCGGGGCCCTGTGCAGTGAGCCAGAGCGGCAGATCCGGAGCACTGTGGACTGGAGTGTGAGTGGCAGGGTGCTGGGAGGGAGGGACAGGTGGGTACCAGCCCCTGCTGGGCTTGGGGAGCTGCTGCGGGAGGAGCCCATGGACCTTTGGGGTCAGGGCAGACCTCCTGGGGTAGCCCGGTTTGAGCCAAGCCCTCAAGAGCGGGGGAAGTGGGAGGAGCGCCTGGCTGGCTCAGTTGGTAGAGCTTGCAGCTCTTGATCTTAGGGATTGTAAGTTCAAACTCCACGTTGGGTGTAGAGATTACTTAAAATTTTTTTAAATCTTCAAAAAAAAAGAAAAATGGGGACAGTGGGGAAACAGGATGGAGCAAAGTAGATTGTGGTGGCTGGTTTGTCTTGGGGGAGAGGTGAGTTGGCAGGGCAGGGACTGACGTGCTGGGTAGCAGGTTGCTCTGAGCATGCTCATCTCATGGTCTAGGAATCCGCGACGTATGGGGAACACATCTGGTTCGAGACCAACGTGTCGGGGGACTTCTGCTATGTTGGGGAGCAGTACTGTGTAGCTAAGATGCTGGTGAGTGAGCTCTGGGTGGCATGCTGCCCCCTGCTGGTGGAGCGAGTCTAGAAGCCTATGGACAGACCTGCAGGCCTGACAAGGGAAGATGGGAAGACTCTCACTTGACACCCCTGCTGTGGGCTGCCTGAGGATGGCAGAGGGAATGGGGGCTGTGTTCTTTCTGATGCCAGGACTGGGAATTCCCAGTGAACACAGAATTCCCGGCTGTGCTGGGGCAGATGTAAGGATTTCTCTTTCTGCCTGGGGCAGCATCCTGGAGGTAGTTACCTGGTGCCTCAGGGCCCTCTCTTTGTTTTCTGCAGCAGAAGTCAGTGTCCCGGAGAAAATGTGCAGCCTGCAAGATCGTGGTGCACACCCCCTGCATCGAGCAGCTAGAGAAGGTGAGTATGGGTCCTCAGCCTTTCCTGCTCCTCCCTATTGAGTGCTGAAGTCATTTTAGTACATGCACGTGTGTATCTCTGCACACATATTTACGTTACAAGCATTGTGTGGTGAAGAGCCAAAGACCTTGGGGCTGAAATGTCTGCCTTTGAATCCTGTCTCCCCCCATAAGCTCCCCTGTCCCCACTGCCCAGAACAATCCTGGCACAGCGTGGTTGGTGCTCACTGACTGTTATTCGGTGGGATGAATAAATAAGTGACGGCCAAAACACCATTTTATCCGCACCTAAGTTAGCATTTAGAAGGGGCCGTTGTCTTGCCGAAGCTTGGCTCTGTCCCCTATATGCTGCTGCTCTAGAGACCTTTCCCTAAGGACTGTTGTCCACAGTGTGTCTACAGCTGGTGCCACGTCTGGGCCCTGTGCTTCTAGAGGGAAGTTGGGGGAACTCTGGGTAGGCGTCCAGGCAGAGGGTGGGAGGGCTCCCCAGGCAGCAGAAACCCATCAGCACATGGGAAAGCCTGTAAGACTAGGACCAGCGTGAGCAAGGGTAACGTGGGCCACTTGCCCCAGCCCTTAACCCAGAGAGTGAGGCTTCCCTTGGCAACTTGGGTGCTCCAGCTAAGGCTGGAGCAAAGACAGTTGGGAAAAGAGAAACAAACGTAGCCCCAGGCATTATAGAGCCCAAGGTGGAAATCGGACCAGTTTCCACAAATGAGCTCATGGTCTCCAGGGATCAGCCTGCGCGAGTCTGCAAGCAAGGATCAGGGTGCCTTCCCGTGCCTAGGTTGGGAGCACTGGAGGGCAAGGGGAAGTATGGGAAGAGGTGGGCAGGTGGACGCAAAACTCCCAGTGTCCCCCATCCCAGGATACTAACAGGAAGGAAGAGTCCTTCTGGCTAGTGGAGAGGAGGTGGGGAAACAGGAGGGCTTCTGAGAAGAGGTGTCTCATATTCTGAGGGTTCCCAGGAGGCTTTGGGGCTATCACTACCTTGTGAAGATGACTCCGAATGACACTTTCTTAGAGAAGGTGGATAGATGCGTGACTGCCTGAAAGGAGGTTCTAACAGTTGGGTGGTCATTGCAATGTTTCACAGATAAATTTCCGCTGTAAACCATCCTTCCGTGAATCAGGCTCCAGGAACATCCGTGAGGTAAGTGCCTAGGGTAGTTATGGGTAAGGAGGCATTGAGTTTCCCGAGTGGGCTTCTCCACGGTGTCTGTAGAGTGCCACCAGGGGACCCAGCCGCTCTGGGGCTCAGGGACGTGCAGGGCTGAGGCTCTGAGAGGGTCTCAGTGGGGGAAGGCCTGGCCCTGCCTGCAGAACGGGTGAGGCACACTGCCTGCCTCTTGGGCCTCCTCGCTCTCTAGCCCCTCTCACCTCACACACACTTCTGTGGAGAACTTGCTGCGGCCCCACGCCTCCCATTAATATATGGAGGGGTGCAGGCCATGCTTCAGGCTTGTGCCTCTTCCACTCCTCACTCCAGTGATACTCTCCTCCCCCAGCCAACCTTTGTGCGGCACCACTGGGTACACAGACGACGTCAGGATGGCAAGTGTCGGCACTGTGGGAAGGTGAGGCTCTGCCCCTGGGCCTGGACCCCGCAGCCCCCAAGCCTCAGGCCGAGCATCCAGTCTGCCCGTCACTGACACTGTCTCCTGAGTGCAGAGTCCTGGGGCTCACTCCCACTCTGGCTGAGGTGCCCAGTCAGCGCCAAACACTCAGGTCTCTAGATGGAGCAGGAGAGCAGGGAAGAAAGTTACCTTTGGTTCAGTGTATCTGGACTGCCTCGAAGTCGTGGTTGAGCCCTCTGAGAATTTCATAGACTTACTCGTTTGGTCACTGAAGACATTTGTTGAGCACCTGTTGGGTGCTGAACTCGGGGCTAGGTAGTGAGGCCTCTGCCCTTCCTGCAGGAGAGTGTGGCCTGAAGACACACTGTGGGTGGTCTTCCCTGAGTGCAGTGCACGGTGTGGTGGTCACTTGTTCCTTGTGTGCTTCTGGTTTGTATCCCTCAGGAAGCATAGGTTCTAGAAGGTCTTGGGGCCCTGTCTCTTTCCTCTGTTCATTCTCAGTCCCGAGCACAGTGTCTGTCACACGGCAGGCCCTTGATCAATGTGGGATGAACAAGGGAATGAATGTGATAGATGCCTCGAAGCATATACCAGGGGGCCTTGGGGTATGGGCTCAGGAAGGAGGGCATCTGAGCTGGCAGGAGTCAGTTGTGGACCCTTTGCAGCAGATTGCGTATATGCACCCAGCGCCTCGCGGTTAACTTCAGGTTAACCTTGTAGAGTTGTAGGCCGCCCGGCTCCAGGGGCTTATCTTACAGATTTTTTTTTTTCATGTGAAAAAAAAAATGTGCTCAGTTTCCCTGGGGCCCCAACCACCCACTGCCCGCTCCCTACCCTAGGGCTTCCAGCAGAAGTTCACCTTCCACAGCAAGGAGATTGTGGCCATCAGTTGCTCCTGGTGCAAGCAAGCGGTGAGTGGTGCTCACCCCTCCCTTCCCTGGCTGCTCTGGGTGTGTCCCCCCCCCTCCAACAGCTGAGGCCTCAGCTCACCTGCGCCCCCTATTCTCTAGTACCACAGCAAGGTGTCCTGCTTCATGCTGCAGCAGATAGAGGAGCCATGCTCCCTGGGTGTCCACGCTGCTGTGGTCATCCCGCCCACCTGGATCCTCCGTGCCCGCAGGCCCCAGGTGAGTCCTGCCCGCAGCTGTGATACCACCCCCACGCTCGGGCTCTGCCAGCCGCCCCAGCCCACCTTCCTTGTCACCAACACCCGAGCTTTCCTTGCAGAATACCCTCAAGGCAAGCAAGAAGAAAAAGAGAGCATCCTTCAAGAGGAAATCGAGCAAGAAAGGGCCAGAGGTTAGTCCTGGGGCCGGACAGGAAGGGGGAGGGGAACAGGAAAGAGGGGCCTGTTCCTCCAAGTGCCGGGCTCTGGGCCCCTGAGGAAGGTAGGAGACTGTGGCCAGGCCCACCTTGAGGTCTGCCCTGGAGGTGGTTATGGGAGGGGCCACCGCTGAGAACAGGGCGAGGTCTGCCAAGACAGGCTGGAGCCTCATAGTCTCTCCATCTCCAAGGAGGGCCGCTGGAGACCCTTCATCATCAGGCCCACCCCGTCACCCCTCATGAAGCCCCTGCTGGTGTTTGTGAACCCCAAGAGTGGAGGCAACCAGGTACTCACAGCCTGCCCTCTCTGCTGAGAGCCTTGGGGGTTGAGAGGGGGTGGTTCAGGCTCCGCACCCCTCTCTGCTCCTCTCCAACTACTGCTCCCAGGTCCATTGCAGGCTCCTGCCCCATCCCTCTTGCCCAGAGATTCTGAGGAAGTCGGAGTTGGTCTCCACCCCTCGCCCCCTGCTGGGCCTGGTTCCCACAGCCCCATCCTTCGGTCCTCGGGGACCATCTCCCCACCTCAGTCCACCGGCCTCAACTGACCCCTGCCCTGTCCCCCACAGGGCGCTAAGATCATCCAGTCCTTCCTGTGGTATCTCAACCCCCGCCAAGTCTTTGACCTGAGCCAGGGCGGGCCCAAGGAGGCGTAAGTACTTGCTAGGGCTCTGCAGGGATAGTGGCGAGGGCTTGCCGAGCACAGAGGGTGGGGCATACGGACCCTGACGCCCTTCCTGTCTTCTGACTCCAGGCTGGAGATGTACCGCAAAGTGCACAACCTGCGGATCCTGGCGTGTGGAGGTGATGGCACGGTGAGTCCTGCTGCCTCTCCGGGGCCCAAGTCTGGGCCCCACTTAGCTGACCCGGCCTCTCCTGCTCTGCCCCCTCCAGGTCGGCTGGATCCTCTCCACTCTGGACCAGCTGCGCCTAAAGCCACCACCGCCTGTCGCCATCCTGCCCCTGGGCACTGGCAATGACTTGGCCCGTACCCTCAACTGGGGTGGGGTAAGAGCCCACCGGCGGGGAGGGGGCTAGAGCAGGGGCTGTGCAGCTAGGGAGGCCTCTCCTCCCCTCCTCGCCCTCACCCCCCCCCCCCGCCCCAGGCTCAGTTCCCGCCTGTCTCACCAGGGTTACACAGATGAGCCCGTGTCCAAGATCCTGTCGCATGTGGAGGAGGGGAATGTGGTGCAGCTAGACCGCTGGGACCTCCGTGCTGAGCCCAATCCCGATGCGGGGCCTGAGGAGCGGGACGAGGGCGCCACTGACCGTGTAGGTCGCCAGGGCAGGGGGTGAGGGGGTGGGGGGGGCAACGGGGCAACCCCCAGAGCCCTGGTCTGAAGCCCTCCTTCCCACTTGCCGGTTTTGGGGCTTTGGACAAATCTTTTCATTTCTCCTGACTTTGAGCTTATCCTGTATGATGGCAATAATGGTACCCCGTAAGCTAGCTGTTATCAGCCGCTTGGCAAATATTTACTGAATATCTACCGCATGCCAGGTACCATTTTAAGCAGCAATGAAACAAAGTTCCCTGTCCTCACTACAGAATATGGCACTTCGGGAAGAGCCTACAGAATATGGCACTTCGGGAAGAAGTGTCGGCAGGGCTGGAAAGCCAGGGAAGAGAGTGCCAGCAGGGCCCAGGTTGTTTTACATCTGGGGTGCTTGGAAGAGCCCCCAAGGGAGCTGGGAGCCTGAGGGCAGAGCCTGAGGCAGGCTGCGGGCTAGCGGAAGAGCTTTCTGGTGGATCCTGTTAACCATGGAAAAGGCTTTCAAAAATGCATGGGCTGAGCCAGCCTGGTGACCTCTGGCCTGCAGGAGGCCAGAGCAGGGTGGTGGCTGTGAGGCCCAGCCCTCACGCTGGGCCCTTGACCTTTTTGCAGCTGCCCCTGGATGTCTTCAACAACTACTTCAGCCTGGGCTTTGATGCCCATGTCACCCTGGAGTTTCATGAGTCTCGAGGTTGGCAACTACTTGCTAAGAAAGCATTGGGAGTCTGGGGAGGGAAGGACACAGGAGGGTATCCGAGAGGGTCAGAACTTGCCCCCAGCAGTGCCCAGCCCTCACTCCCCACCCTATCCCGGAAGAGCCCCAGCGGGATCAGAATGACTGACTGTCCTGTTTCTTGTCGCCACCCAGAGGCCAACCCGGAGAAATTCAACAGCCGCTTTCGGAATAAGATGTTCTATGCCGGGGTGAGTCTGGGGTGTGCCAGCAACAGCCCCCCCACCCCGCTCCACATCCACTAGTCTACCGCCCATGCCGCCTGCGCACCTGTGTCTGCCAGGCCACAAGGCCCCTGCCGGGCAACGGTGAAAGAAAGTCCCTGTCACCAGATGGTGACGCCCTCTCTCTCCCACAGACAGCCTTCTCCGACTTCCTGATGGGCAGCTCCAAGGACTTGGCCAAGCACATCCGAGTGGTGGTAAGTGGCCAAGCTGGCAGGCAGAGTGGGTGGGCCCAGTGGGGAGGGAGGCCGCCTTGGCGCGGGTATATACCCTACACTCACCCCTGTTCCTGCCTCCAGTGTGACGGAACTGACCTGACCCCCAAGATTCAGGACCTGAAACCCCAGTGCATTGTTTTCCTGAATATCCCCAGGTGAGCAGGGGAGGGCTTTGTGTGCCCGGAGGCCTCCATCCTGTGAGATGGTCCTCTGAAAGCCCTTGTGTTGCCTTCCCCTCCAGGTACTGTGCAGGCACCATGCCCTGGGGCCACCCTGGGGAGCACCATGACTTTGAGCCCCAGCGGCATGATGATGGCTACCTCGAGGTCATTGGCTTTACCATGACGTCCCTGGTGAGTGGGCCAGCATGGAAACTGCCTGGACTCTGGCTCTGTCCCCACAGTGACCAGGAGGAAGGATTGGGTGGGGGATGGGAAATCACCAAACTTCCCCTCACTGGCCAAGATGGGAGAATTCATGCTCTTCTCCCTGCCTGGGGTCTTGCCCTCCCTCCCTCCCTCTGATCAGGCTCTCACTACCTGCCCCCCCCCCCCCAACTGGGGTCTTGTCCTCCTTCTGCTCTCTGTCTGGGGGTGGGGGGGCACTGTCCCTGTGTTCCCTGGCCAGAGCATCCTTGGGGGGAACAGAGCTTGGGGCCCCACTACTCCCTGCCCGGGCTCCTGACCTGAGCCTTCCCGGCCCACAGGCAGCACTGCAGGTGGGTGGGCACGGCGAGCGGTTGACACAGTGCCGCGAGGTGGTGCTCACTACGTCCAAGGCCATCCCGGTGCAGGTGGATGGCGAGCCCTGCAAGCTCGCAGCCTCGCGCATCCGCATCGCCCTGCGCAACCAGGCCACCATGGTGCAGAAGGCCAAGCGGCGGAGTGCCGCCCCCCTGCATAGCGAGTATGTTCCCCTCCCAGCCACCACATGCCCTGGGGCCCGAGGCCAGACTCTGCCCCTCCCTCGAGCCTTGGTTTCCCCAGCTGGAAAGAGGGCCAACAGCCCCTCTGCCTCGGGGAGGCTGGGCAGGGCCCCTTGGTCTGGTGCCTGGCCAAGGACCTTCCTGAGTGCTCTCTCACCGCCTGCACCTCAGCCAGCAGCCCGTGCCTGAGCAGCTGCGGATCCAGGTGAGCCGAGTCAGCATGCACGACTACGAGGCCCTGCATTACGACAAGGAGCAGCTCAAGGAGGCCTGTGAGTGGCAGGCAGGGTGGGGGTGGCAAGGAGCTGCTAGGTGCCCTGAGGACAGGCCAGGGGGGCACGGCCAGCTGCTGATGGCCTGCTCTGTCCTCCAGCCGTGCCGCTGGGCACCGTGGTGGTCCCGGGAGACAGCGACCTAGAGCTCTGCCGTGCCCACATCGAGAGGCTCCAGCAGGTGAGGGGGCCGGGAGCCTCCCCTGCGTGCGCCTGCCTGCTCTGGTCTTTTCTCTGCCAACTCCCGGCCTTGACTTCTCTCAGCAGGAGCCCGAAGGTGCTGGAGCCAAGTCCCCCACCTGTCAGAAACTGTCCCCCAAGTGGTGCTTCCTAGATGGTGAGTGGCCCTGAAGGACCAGCTCCTGGCAGTCCTAGGCTGTATCCTGCCCTCTCCCACAGGGCTCCTGGTTGGGCAGCAGGGTACCCGGGCCTGGGTAAGGTCTCCTGTGCCCTCCGACAGCTTTCTGCCTCCCCCACAGCCACCACTGCCAGCCGCTTCTACAGGATCGACCGGGCCCAGGTAAGCACTCGCCATTGTCCATCCACCGCTAGTTCCAGGCCACCCGGGGACCCCATCCCTTCGGCCTGCACTTCCACACATGGGCTTTCCCATTGTCACACTGTGTAGTGCCTGCACACCCGCTCCTATTCACGGACAGGGTGGAAGCACGCTGCTCACGGGAGAAGGGAACTGACATGCCCAGGAGAGACTGGCTAGGTGGGTGCGAGGGCTGTGGAGCATGGCTACCACCCAGGAAGACACAGGTGCCAGGTGACCTGGGTAAAGGCTTAGCTGCAGGAAGGAGCTAGGAAGGCAAGGAGGAGACTGGCCAGGCCCCCTCCCCTGGCTTCCAGTGTTCATACTCCCTGCAGAAGCTTTTCCGGGTCTGCTGGCCTTGCTGCATCCGCGCCCCCACCATCGTCGGCTACCCTGGGGGGTCCTGACTCTCGGCCCCTGACCTCCCCACCCACAGGAACACCTCAACTACGTGACCGAGATTGCACAGGACGAGATTTATATCTTGGACCCAGAGCTGCTGGGGGCATCTGCCCGGCCTGACCTCCCAACCCCCACTTCCCCTCTCCCCACATCCCCCTGCTCACCCACGCTCCGGTGAGTCCCGGGTCTCCTCTGGCCCCCTGGCTCGAAACCCCACCTACAAGCCAGTAGCTCCTGAAGTCCTGCCTGCGGCGCCAGGCACAGACACCAGACGCACGTCCAGTGTCCAGCTAGCTGCCAGTTCCCCACGGCTCCTCCCTGGCTGGGTCATTGGCAGAGAACCAAACCTGGCCAAAGCCCAGCTGACCCCCCCCCCCCGGGGAAGTGGCATCACCATACACCCTGCTGCGCCGGCCAAAGCCCTGGGCTCCCTGTCTCACGTGTCCACCGCACACGCCCCCAGCCCCCCACATCTGAGCACCGCAGCCCAAGCCTTGGCCCCCAGCCTCCCCTCCATCCCCACTGCCCACCACCCGTGGCCTTCAGGCCTCAGGGCCTCAAGCGTGCCCACCTCTGCACGTTCCTTGCCTCAGACACAACCCCCTCCCTGTACCTCACTGAGCTCCCCGCTCCACTCAGACCTCAGCTTAGGGGTTTCCTCCCCAGAGAAGTTTTCCCAGGAACCCTGGCTGCAGTTGTGAGATCCCACTACCCCGTCTGGTGTTCTTCTTGACCCTTCCCACCTGGAGAAGGCCTTATTTATTTGTTGACTTGTCTGTCTCTCTGACTAGAATGTAAGCTCCGTGAGAGCAAGCTCTCCGTGTCTTGTCCCTGCTGTATCGCCAGCACCTAGCACGGCACCTGCTAGGCACCTGCTATGTAGGAGGCACTCAATAAACTGTTGAAAGAACACAGGGCGCCCCCTGCTTGGGGCAGGGAGGGTGACAGGCTGGGCCTGTGCTGTCACTGGGTCCCATCTCATCCTGCTCTGCTTGCAGGTCACTGCCAGGGGACGCAGTGCCCCCCAAAGGTGAGGCCTCTCCCTTCTCCCTTGGTCCTGGGAAGGGCGGGGGGGACCCACACACACCCTCCCACAATCACAGCCCCGAGGCTGGCATGGTCATGCCACCTAGCCCTCGGCAGGCGCACCCCGGCAGGCCCACATCCCCGCCCAGGGTGTCTGTGCACCACCCCGGGCCGGGCCTCAGCCCCAGAGCGTAATGGGCGGGTGTTCCCTGCAGGTGAAGAGCTGATTGAGGCTGCCAAGAGGAACAACTTCTGTAAGGTACTAGCGCAGGGCCAGGGCCCGTCTTCTCCCCACGGCGACCCTGAGATACGTGCCCTGTGGGGCAGGGCCTCCAGGTGGGGCTGAATTAGCCTGTTCCAAGCTGTCATCATCTGTCATTGTCCAGCCCTCTCTAGGGTCTCCATGGTGACTGTCCCTGTCCCACCCCCAGCGACCTTTCACAGCGGCTTCCTAGCACAGTCTGTCCCTAGTGCTCAGAAAAGAGCGAGTCCTAGAGGAACTACGGGCTCAAGGCCTTGGTGGCCAGTGCTCCCCAGGAACCCATGGGTGCCTGGGATGGGAGAAGCCCAGTGTGTCTCCCCTGCAGCCCAGAAAGTCCCCCGGAGGGATGATGTGTGCGAGCACACTCATCTCAGGCGTGCGGCCTCTGTGAGGTGGGGACATTTCTGTGGCTGGCGGGAGGGTGGTCCTGAGGAGCCCCAGCCCTGCTCTGCCTCCTGCCCTCAGCTCCAGGAGCTGCACCGAGCGGGGGGTGACCTCATGCACCGGGACGAGCAGAGCCGCACGCTCCTGCACCACGCGGTCAGCACGGGCAGCAAGGAAGTGGTCCGCTACCTCCTGGACCACGGTGAGCTTGCCACTAGGGTCCCCGGGGCCAGGGGCCAGGCGGGAGACCACCAGGCGTCTCTGACCTCCCCCTCCCCTCTCCTCCAGCCCCCCCAGAGATCCTTGATGCTGTGGAGGAGAAGTGAGTATCTGGGCAGGGCCAGACCCTGGTCGCCCTGGAAACTGCCCTGTCCCCATCTAGCCCCTCCCACTTGGCTGGTCAGAGCCTGTAAACCCTTCCAGGCCACATCCGCCCTGCCCTTGCCCCCAACGGCCCTGAGCTTCCTCTTCTGTCTGACTGCCCTCTGGCGACAGACCAGAGGGCCCCAGGACAGGATGGGGGTCCACGGCCAGCCCCTCTTTCCACAGTGGGGAGACGTGTCTGCACCAGGCGGCAGCCCTGGGCCAGCGCACCATCTGCCACTACATCGTGGAGGCTGGGGCCTCTCTCATGAAGACAGACCAGCAGGTGAGCAGACCAGCAGGGAGTCTACGCAGCACAAAGCAGCCCTTTCCCGACGGAGGACTGGAAGCTTCCAGGCTGTCCTTCAGTCACTGCTGTCCAGACCCTGAGAAGCCTCAGCCTGCGGTGGGGGGAGGGGGGGCGAGGGGGGTAGCCTGTGACTGGCTGTCGTTTGAAGCTTTTCCTTTCCTCACTGGTGACCTGGAGGGAAGGTCCCCTCCCCTCTCCTAAGCATGTTGGGGCCAACAGGTCCCTGAACTGATGGCAGCTCCCCCCTCATCCAGGGCGACACTCCCCGGCAGCGGGCCGAGAAGGCTCAGGACACGGAGCTGGCTGCCTACCTGGAGAACCGGCAGCACTACCAGATGATCCAGCGGGAGGACCAAGAGACGGCCGTGTAGCTGTGAGGCCAGCGCCGGGCAGCAGGAGGGACAGGGCCAGCCGGAGGAGGAGCCCCCTCATCGCCCACCGCACTGCCACATTCCAGTCGGACTGCCACGGGGGGACCCAGGCCCCAGGGAAGGAGCCCCGTGCTGCCCCCTGAGGAGCCACCCGGGCTCAGGGCTGGGCTCTGAGGAGCTGGGGGACCTCACCTGCCCCCGAGGCCTCAGACTGACCCAGGGCTGACAGGGGAACAAGAAACTGGACTGGGCCGGGCAGGCCTTTGGGAGCCTGGGGCTGGACAGCCCTCCCCCTCCTGCAGCGGGTGCCCTCCCTGGGGTTTAGGGGTGGGGGGGCAGCAGGGTTTGGGGCCCTAGTGGGGAGCCTTCGGGAAGAGGCTTCCTAAGCCATCTGGTCCCTTAGGGGCCTGGCTCTGAGCGTGCTGGCAGCTTGGGCCCTCTCTCCCGCCCAGTCCCCACTCTCCCCGGGGCTTCCTTCTGGAACCACAGAGCCTGCTGCATTTGCCTGCCCGCTGCCCTGCTTGGCGCCTACCCTGGTGACCCACCCCCTGCACTCCAGTCATTTCATCCCCGCTGACTGTGTGGCCTGGGGATTGGAGTGGGGCTCTCATGGTGACATGTTTACAGCTGGGTGTGACTCAGTAAAGTGGATTTTTTTCCTTTCTGCTCTTCTTTTCTTGTGGAGGAGGTCTTCCAGGAGCAGTGGGGTCTGGATGGGGGGTTGGGGGGCCCGGGACTGGCCACCCTGGACCCAGACCCTTTTCTGGGGGAGACCTGGCTCTTGCTTGGGGGAGGGGTCTCTGGCCTGCCCGGGGCCTGACCTCGGCCTGGCGGCCTAGCTCGGCGGGGCCCAGGGGAGGAGCTGATTTCCTCTCGCTTCCCGCTTCCCGCAGGGACGGTAACAATGAAAGTGAAAGAGAGGTGGGGCGGGGGGCGAGGCCCAGATTCTCCGGCCCCGCGGCCCCGCGGCCTAGGGCAAGCCCCCTCCCCCAGGCCTCAGCGGCTCTCGCTGTTTAGGGGCTCGGCGAGGCGACCCCGAAGGCCCCCGGTCGGAAGGGGTGGGCGCTTGCTGCGGCCGGTCTGGAACTTCTCAGACGGCTCTTGTCAGCTCCGAGCCTCACCGGCTCCAGGCCCGGGTCCCCTCCCGCTCCCGCCCCCGAGCCCGAGCGCCTCCTCTGGGGCCCCCGAACGCTGCGCGGGGCGTCCCGGGCACACTCGGGGCGGCGCCCCTTCCCGGCGGCGGCGGGGACGCGGCGGGCCGGCCCTCGACGGGGTTAAACAGGCCTCGGGGCCGGGCCGCACCGAGGCTGGGACGCTGCTGGCGGGCCGAGCGCCGGACCCGGACCCCGGGGCTCCGAGCCCCCTCCAAGCCGCGCCGCGGGCAGGGGCGGCGGCGGCCAGCTGGGGCCGGGGCAGCCGGGGCAGCCGGGGCAGCCGGGGCCGGACGGGGGCCTGGGGCCGGGAGACCCCGGGCTCGCAAGTGGGGCGCGGGCGGAGCCCGTCGTCGGAGCGCGGACGGCCCGGGCGGGGCGAGCGGGGTGCGGGACCCGCGGCGGGAAGCGGGGCTGGAAGCGCCGCGGGCGCGGGGCGGGAGCGGAGGCGGGCACGCCGGGGTCGGGGGCGGCGCGGGTTTGAGGGGAGGGGGCGGGGCGGGTCCTTCGTCGGGGGGGTGCGGGGGGCGGGGAGGGGGCGGGGGCCCATGTGACCGGCTCAGACCGGTTCTGGAGACAAAAGGGGCCGCGGCGGCCGGAGCGGGACGGGCCCGGCGCGGGAGGGAGCGCAGCACCGCGGGCAGCGAGCGAGTGAGCGCGCGGGGCCCCTCGCCCCCGGGCCCCAGCCGAGCCGCCGCCCCGAGGCGGGCTGGGGGTCTGGGCCGCGTGCGGGCCGTGCGCCCCGGCTGGCGGCGAGGGGCCGACCCCACAGCCCTCCCGCCGCCGCCGCGGCCCGTGGGCCTGGGGAGTGGGGCGGGGGCGGGAGGGGCGCGCGCGGCCCCCCGTGGGGAAGGGGGCGGGCGGGGGCCCTGACCCGACCTGTCCCCGCAGGATGCAGCTCCGAGGCTTCCTCCTCCTCGCCCTCCTCACCCTGCTGGCGCTCCCCGCCGCGGTGGCCAAAAAGAAAGGTGATCTGGGGTGTGGGGGCTTGCCGGAGGGCTGGAGACGCGCGGCGCGGCCGGGACCCCGGGAAGCCGCCCCCGGGTGAGTCTGAGCTCCGTTCCCCGTGCGTCCTAGACAAAGTGAAAAAGGGCGGCCCGGGGAGCGAGTGCGCGGAGTGGACCTGGGGGCCCTGCACCCCCAGCAGCAAGGACTGCGGCGTGGGTTTCCGCGAGGGTACCTGCGGGGCCCAGACCCAGCGCATCCGGTGCCGGGTGCCTTGCAACTGGAAGAAGGAGTTCGGAGGTGAGGTGGGGCGCCCGCGGAGGGCAGGAGAGGGGGGCGCAGCCTCCCCGAAGCGTGGGCGGCCCGTGGCCTCCAGCCACGGGCTGCGCAGGTCTGACCCCGGGCGCTCTCCCGCCAGCGGACTGCAAGTACAAGTTTGAGAACTGGGGGGCGTGTGACGGGGGCTCGGGCACCAAAGCCCGCCAAGGCACCCTCAAGAAGGCGCGGTACAATGCCCAGTGCCAGGAGACCATCCGCGTGACCAAGCCCTGCACCCCCAAGACCAAAGCCAAGGCCAAAGGTCAGAGACGCGGGGAGGGTGTGAGGTCATTGCGGGAGGGGTGGGGGGAGGCGCGGGGGCGCTGCCACCGCCCGGGAAGGGGAAAGGTTAAGGCTGAGGTTTTGGACGGTGGCGAGTGGCTTGACAGCCTTGCCCCGGGTGTCCCCGTCTGTAGAGATCCCTTAGGTGAGCACGGGCGGAGTGCGGGTGGCCCACAGAAGGTGCTCGGGACTTAGAAGACCCTCTGGCCCAGGTGGAAGTACAGACAAGCTCTGTTCTGCGGGAGCATCTTGCTTAGGATTCGGGGAAGCCGTCCTGGAAGGGCCTGGCTTTGTCGTCTGTGCAGCCCGAGGGAACCCGCGGTCAGCGTGGGTCCCTTTCTGGTATTAGAGGGACCTCCCGGCCACACTTGCCCCCGGCCCTCGGCTCATTCCTGATTCACAGCAGCCCAGAGAGGCCACCGGGCAGGGGCGAATCCGCCCACCGCTCCGGGCAGGAGGTGGGGGCCGGGGCTGCGGGGCCCCCAGCCGGGAGGTTTGGGGAGCCCAGCGAAAGCGGAGGTCGGCGTGGGGCAGCTCCTGCACCAACATGGCTGCGCTCCCCACCGGCGGCCGCTGAGCAAGAGCCACTAGGGGGCAGAGTCTTCCCCCCATGTATATACCCGGGTCCCTGCCAGGGCACCCCAACTCTGCTAACACCTTATTTCTTGCTTGTTTTACAGCCAAGAAAGGGAAGGGAAAGGAGTAGCAGCCAGGTCTGGATGCCCAGGAGCCCGGGGCCGGTGCCCTCCCTCCCGCAGGCCCAGGATCTAACTACCAGTGCCTTTTGTCTCCTCGTTAGCTTTATCAATCATACCCTGCTTCTTCCCTTTCATTCCTCCACCAGCACCCTCAAGTGTCCCCGACGGGGAGGGACAGGGGATTGCGGACAGCTTGAGCCTCCTGCCCCAGAGGGATGTGATTCCCGGTACCCCCTTTTGTTCTTCCCCACAAAGATGCCATTACTAAGAAATAAATAAACCGTCGTTTTTTGTTTTTCCCAATAAAAGCTTTTCCTTTAATATATAAAAGCCCCAACCCAGGGAGTTTGCTGTGGTAATTTGTAGGGGCAGGAACTTGTGAAGGAAAGGCAAGGCTGGAGGAGCTGTGGCTTTCAGGGGGGTTGGGGGCTTGGCGGTGAGTGCTCCCCAGAGCTCATGGATAAAGCAGAATGGTTATGAAAATTGCTTCCAGGGCCCCTCCTCACTCCTGAAAGGGTGCCCCCATCAGGTCCCCTGAGCCCTTCCATGTGGTCTTTCCAGGGGGCCATACCAGGGGCTGGGAGAGAACCCAGAAGGCTCGTGAGAACTGACACTCCTCATCTCAGCCAAAGGTCCTTTGGTACAGCCCAACTACCACTAGAAGGTTCTGTCTACTGGGAGGGAAGAAATGGGGGCTGCTTGCCTGTGCCGTGCCCACTGTCACTGAGGCTTGTGTGGGTCAAGTCGGCCCATTCTCCCCCAAGCCCCGGGCCTCCCTCACACTCTGCAGAAGCCTGCTGGGAGGGCTCTTAAGAATCTGGTGGGCCTCTGCTCAGCATGGGACCGCAGGAAGCCAGGCCTCCGTTCCTGAGTGTTGAGACCCTGACCCCCCGGCTGCCCCATCCTGACCGTGACTAGGGCCGTGCTGTGGGAGGATGAGGGAGGGCGGGGTGCCCAAGAGCCCACTCCACCTAGCCTCCAGCTAACCCACCTGCCCACCCAACCAGGGCCTGGCTGAGTACTGCAGCAAGGGGAGATCTCTGCCCCTGGGATGGGACCTGGGAGGAGGGGCTGGGCCTACATGCGGGGTGCAGCAGGGAGAAAGCACCAACTACAGCAGAATGGGGGGCCCCACCCTTCCACCCCCTTCCCAAGCCTCCTCTCCCAAGCACTGGCTCCTCTGCTCCTCCCAAGGGGATCCTGGGCTTTTGCTCCCCCTCCAGACGTCCATTCTTCCAGCCATGCTGGTTGGTCACAGTGGGGCAGGCGCCCCAGAAGGCCAGTGCCCCCCCAGCTCCCTGAGGCAGGGCGACGGAGGCGGGCCAGGCAGTTTTGGCTTCGGACGCTTCTGGGGCTGACCCTCCTCAGCCTGAGCGGAGATCTGGTCTCTCTGAATCCAGCCAGAGGTTCTTCCTGAGACTCACGGGGTCTTGGGGACCTCAGTTCTCCTCCTCGGTGAACATGGACGCGGAGAGATGCTTCCAAATCTCTCCCTGAACAGCCACGTGAGCGACCACGCAGCCCAGCACACACTCGTGACCACCAGCACCTTCTGTGGCCCCCCTGCCACCTACCTGGCAGTGCCGATGTTCCGATACTGGCACAGCAGCAGGTGCCGGAAGGTCTTTTTAAAGGTGGCATTGCAGAGAGCGTAGCAGGCCGGGTTGATGGTGCTGTTGACGTAGCAGAGCCAGTAGCCGATGGACCACACCGTGTCAGGAATGCAGCTCCGGCAAAAGGTGTTCACCAGGACCATGACGTTGTAGGGCGTCCAGGTGAGGATGAAGGCCAGCAGGATGGCAAAGATGGTCCGCGTCACCTTGCGCTCCCGGGCCGCCATCTGCCGCTTCTTGCGCACCTGGTTGCGGGCAATGCTGGCGAACTTGCGGGCCACGTTGGCCGCCGGACGCATGCCGGCCGGCGTGGCAGGAACGATCTCGATGGCTGTCACACACTCGTTGCCTGTCTGCTTCGTCACAATCTGGATCTTGGACCATTTGGATGCTGGGTTGAGGGCCCGCGGCTGTAGGGGCGGGGCGGGCATGGCAGGCGTGGTGGCCTCCGTGGTGGACAGCTCCGTGGCTGGTCGTTCCTTGGTGTTGTGCGTGGCGCTGCCGGAGCTGGACTCATTGGAAGTGTCCTTGTCGGCCACGGGGCGCGGCGGCGGGGGCAGCACGGGGGGAGGCGCCTCCTCCAGCTTCCCGTTGCGCAGCTCCTCTTGCGCCGCCTCCCCCGGCGGGGGTTTCTTGATGCTCTGCTTCATCAGGGGGCTCTTGAGGAAGGCCAGGGTCTTGGCCTTCTTCTCCTTCGGGCCCTCGGGCCGGTGCTTGTGCACTCGGCTGCGACTGGCCAGGGAGATGTGAATGTAGAGCACCGTCATGATGACCACGGGCAGGTAGAAGGCAGCGATGGCTGTGCCGAAGGTCACCGCTGGGTTGGACAGGAACTGGATGAAGCACTGGTTGTCTGGCACTGTCCGCTTGCCCACCACAAACTGCCAGAACAAGATGGCAGGTGCCCAGAGCACGAAGGACAGGACCCAGGCAGCGGCGATCATGAGGCCTGCCATCTTGGTGGTGCGCCGGGCGGGGTAGGTGAGGGGCTTGGTGACGCAGAAGTACCGGTCAAAGCTGATGATGAGAAGGTTCATGACAGAAGCATTGCTCACCACGTAGTCCAGGGCCAGCCACAGGTCGCAGACCACGGCGCCCAGGGGCCAGTAGCCCTTGATGATGTACACGGTGTAGAGGTTCATGGAGAAAGCGCCGATGATGAGGTCGGCGCATGCCAGGCTGAACAGGAAGTAGTTGTTGACCGTCTGCAGCTGCCTGTTGACCTTGATAGACAGCATCACCAGGATGTTGCCCACAACAGTCACCAGGCTCAAAGAGCCCGTCACCGTGGCGATGAATATCATCTCCACCGTCTCGTAGCGGTTATGGGCCGACGTGACCAGGCGGACGGACTGGTTGCCCGAGCTGCCATTGACTGGTGTGAAGTTGGCCATCCTGCTCGGCGGAAGTGGGCGCCGGTGTCTGGAGGAGGAAGGAGAGAGAGGAAAGGGTGAGCCGTGTCGAAGCGCTTTAGAGAGGTAACTCGAGGCCGCCGAGGGACACCATCCTGCCGGGCCGCAGAGAATCTGTCCCCTCACTCTCCCGCTCGTGTCTTCAGCCAGTCACCGTGGTCTGAGCGCCTGCTGCGCACAAGCACCGTCCCGGGTGCCCGCGTTACAGGAGTGAAAGAGACACGCGCGGCCCCCGCTCTCGAGGAGCTTACAGTCTGGCCAGGGCAGACAGATGAACACGCGAGCAACCAAACAAGTGCTAGAAGGAAAACAAGGCAGGGCCACAGCAGAGTGGGTGAATCAGAGGACAGACTGGGACGCTTCCTTGCTGGGAGATCAGTGAAGGCCTCTCCAAGGAGGTGATCTGGACGATGGCAAGGAGGCGGCCATGCGAAGAGCTGCAGAGGCGGCTTAGTCAGGGCCAATGGCCAGAGCAAAGGGCCTGGGGCACATGCGGGGCACAGACAGAAGGCCAGTGTGTGCGGGGCCCAGAGAAGCAATGGGGAGGGCTCCAGTCAGCACGTGGCTCTGGGCAGAAGTGTTCATTCATTCACATCCTCCGTCATTTTGTAACCAAACATTATCAGAGAACCTGTCCTCCATCCTTCCAGGAGGCACTGAGGACACAGGCGAGAATACATATTAGCAGCTGACACTGTCTACTACGGGGCCGACACTTCCTGTACTTTCTATAAATATTAACCGATTTCTTCCCCCCAACAAGTCTGTGAGGTAGAAACCTTTATTTCTCACTACTTCCAGATGAGGAAATCGAGGCACAGAGATGTTCAGTAACCTGCCCAAGTCTCCACGAGTCCTTAATATTGTGTTGCTGTCCCAGAGCTAAGGGTTCCGTCAGAGGGAGGCCCAAAGAGCCGCAAGAGCCAGTGATCCCACCTTGGTGGGGAAGGATCCTGGGGTGACCAGGGGTGCCCTGGAGTGGGGAACTTCAAGGATGAGGAGGAGAGTGCCATGTGAGGGGCCAGGGGGTGCCCACCACTGCAGCATCCCCTCCCTGAGCTCCCCCTGCCAGCCCCAGGACAGGGGGCTCAGTGCTGGGCAGTAGGTTCATGACCTCATGGCCAGGGGCCGAGGACCCCGAGTCATCAGAGGCCGAAAGGAGGGCCTGTCAGCTGTGGAAAGATGCGCATGGCTTCCAAGGGGCCAGAGCCAGGCCTCCGTCCAACTGGGAACCCAAAGGAACCCAGCGTGTCCCAGAGGGAAGAGGGGGGAACGCTGCAGGGGAGCCTGGGGCCAGCTCAGGGGCACCTCCTGGCTCACCAGCACACATGGGGGTCCCCCAGCTAACCCCGCCCCCAGCCTGCATCCCCTTCCCACCCAGGTTCTTCATCTCTCCCCCGCCTTCCTCTCCATACACGTGAGAGAGGCCCACGCCCAGTGCGCTGTGCCAGGGCAGCCGTTCAGCCCTGCCTCCTTCACACCCGCCAACACGCGCACCATTACACACGCACACAGGCCCCAGCCCAGCCCCGCCAGCCCCGCGCACTGCCGTATACACAGCGTCTGTGTGTGAGAGAGAGGCAGAGGCAGCCAGTGTGGAGGAAGGAGCACTCACCCTGCAGCCCAGGCTCCAAGGCCAGCAGGGTTGTGGCTGTAGAGCAGCCACCTCACCTTCAGGCCCCTCTCTCATTTGCAAAATAGAGAGGACTGGGTCCTGGGGCCCCTCCCAAGCAGCTATGGGGATCAGGAACTAAACTTTCCATCTGCAGCATGAAAAAAAATGCACCAGAGGCTGGAGGCGAGTGCCAGGGTGACCCTCGTGGCCTGGCAGTTCACGTTCCAGGGTGACCCTCCTGGCCTGGCAGTTCACGTTCGCCTGTCCAAATCCCTGGTTCTCAGGAGGAGAGGCTCAAAGAGTGGTGTTGCCACCTCCAAGGTCACAAAGGAGTCAAGGGCAAAGACTAAATGCCACCCTCTCTGGGGGCTCGGACAGCCCACTTTTGGGCTTTGAGAGCTTCAGGTGCCACCTCTGAGCTGGGAGGCAGAAGCAGCGGCTGCAGAGGCTGCCCTCCCCTGGCAGGTGCAAGCAGGTGCAGAGAGCGGGAGGCCTCCGTCCGCAGGCTCCAAGGAAGCCTCGCTTTAGCCTCCCCGGGGCCAAGACGCAGGCCAGCGAGATGGAAACGGGACTGGAGGGGCCAAATATGAAAAACATAATAGCCCTTGTTCATTGAGTGTTAACTATGAGCCGGGAATCCCTCTGAGCTTTTTATGTAGATTATCTGGTTTAATCCTTACAGGAGCCTGAGAAGGCA